CCTCTCTTTCTCTCTCTAGAGGGCCTGGGATTTTGCAGGTAGAATATTCTCTGAATTGTTTTAATTTTGTCACTGGATTTTTTTCCTTTTTTATAATTTACTTTAGAGAGTTCAGTCATATAGATGATAATTCTGAATTAGTTCGTCAGTTATTATTTTGGTCCTCTTCTTCCTCTGTTCTTTGCAAGGAAACATGGTGGTTTCCTTGTATTGTGTCGAACCCATTTTTTTTCTCTGGTTTTCGGCTTTTTCTTACCTAAAGTGAGATTATATCGGTGGGTTTTTGTTTGTGGTTCAAAGATATGGCATTTCTGAAGTGAAAAAGGAAGCCATATCTTTTATTTATTTATTTATCTATTTTTGTAGACCAAATTTCTAGTTTTTTCTCTTGGTGTTTTGAAAGGAATAGTTGGAGTTTTCTTACTTTGAATGCTAGTTTTGCCTTCTTGTGTTTCTTTCTTTAAATGTACACACACAAACAGAGCATTTGTTCTGAAATAAAAATGGATAGTGTATGTGGGTTTTCTCTATAGTTTAGAGTGACAAATTTTTTGTTTAGGTTTTTGCAGGAGTAATAGATTCGTGAGTATGAGTGGTTTTGTTTCCTTTGATTCAAAAGGTCTGATTCTTTTGAAGTAAAAATACAAAACCGTTTGTGGGTTTCTTTTTAATTTGGATTTCATGGTTTTCTTCTGGAATAACTGCCTTTTTTTTTTTTTTTGATCTTTCTCCAAATAAACAGGAAAACGCATCAAGATCCTGGTGTTTCTTAGTTGAAATGGGAAAAAATGGTCTGTTCCTTAACTGATTTAGTGTTCTGGTTGAACTGTATTATTTGTTTAGCTTTTCCTTTACCCATTACAAAAATATTATCTTCTTTTTGAAAATTTTGGCGTGAGGTATTTCAAAAAGTGAACTTTTTTTCTTTCCTCCTGTTTAATATTCGGAAAAAAAGAAAAGTATAAAGTTTTTTTCTTTGGTGTTGAAGAACTTTATGGTGTTTTTTTTCTTATTTCCTTTGGGTTTTTTTTGCTCGGTAGATTTTTGTTAATCTTGAAAGTCTTTTGAACATCCATTTGTTTTGTGCTTGAGCCTTTGAGTAGACTTGATTTTTACCTTGAGTGAAATTATGAGAAGTATCTTTCTCAGTATTTCAGTCTATTGAGATAATCAAAGTATCTTTCTCAGTATTTCAGTCTATTGAGATAAATCAATGGAATTAGAGTTTTTCCTGAAATAGAAATTGCTTTTGAGGCTTGCAGCTGGACTAGATTTTCTCTGGTTTTTGACTTAAGTGGCAGTTTTAAGGGCTGTTTTTACCATAAATAAAAATTGGTTAAGGCCCTTTTGCCCTTGCTCTTCGTTTTCAAGCAGAGTCTATTTCTTTTTTTCTTTTTAATGAGAATCAATGTGCATATCCTTGTATTTTGAGGCCTCATTATGGGTTTTTCCTTTTTCTTCTTCACTATAAATGGGAATAGTCAAGAGGGGTTCATACATGCACTTTGAGGCATTCCAATTGGTTTCCTTGTTCCTTTTTTTTTTTTTTAATATTTTATTTTATTGAATGCAAGTTTTATTTCATGGAAATTTATGCATCATTTTGAATTCTAACAATTTCTCTGGTTTTTTTTGCCACAAATGGAAATATTCAACTACCCATGTTCGCCATGATTAGTCTGAAATTTTCCAGCCATTTTCTAGATATAAAGAACTAATTCCTCAAATGAGTCTTACCTGCTTATTGTTTGGGGTTTTTTGTGCAGCTACCAAAGCTTACAGAAATCAATTTGGCCCTTCAATCAGGTATCAAATAATTTTATTTATTTATTTTAAGGCATTTTTATTTCCTCTGTTTAATCTACCTTTTGACGAATCTGCACTTATGATACGGTTTTCTTAATTTATAAAAGTGTTCTCCATAATGATCAATATTAAAAAATTTGAATCTTTGGGTTTTTTTTCTCTTTGGCCTAACCCAAAACTTTGGAAATTTGAAAGTATCGAAATAGGAAATTCTCTTTGTTAAAAAGGAGAAAACAGCTAATATATTGTTTGAATATGGGATTCAAATTGCAGAAAGCACAACATTTTAAAGATAGTTTCTAGAACTTCTTTTTCTGTTTTGGAAGTGTTAGCCTTGATACCTTACTGGGTTTTTTTTTTATTTAATTGACTTTTTCTGTTTTGGGTCTGTTTCTAGGACCAGTGTGTGCTAATTTTAGCCTTAACTATGGGTATTTTGCTAATTTTAGCCCAAATTAGAAGCATCTTTTTCCTATTTTGGATCAAATTTGACTGATATTTCGACATCTTTTTTCTTGAAATTAGAGTGTGTTATTTCTATCGTATTAATATCGGATATTTTACCTGATGGGTTTTTTGGTGTCTTTTCTAATTGAATTTGTTCAGCTTTAGGAACCAAATGTAAAGCCAAATTTCTAAACTGTGGTGGGAATATTCAGAGTCCCCTCTATGATGTTCTCTAAACTTTTCAAGCTGCATTTATGTGCAGGAAAGATTAAGAGTGATAGGAGGGTTAAACGAGACCCAGATAGCTTGGTGAGAACCATGGGGGAGGCAATTGGGCGGTTGAAAGTCACAGTGGTGCGAGGCAAACTATTGGTGGTCCGAGATTTCACGAGCAGTGACCCTTATGTGGTGGTTAAGCTCGGTAACCAGGTCATTTTTCTCAGGCCTTTCAATGTCTTTTTTATCTTGTTGAATTTCTTCATCATGGCTATAAAATCCAAATGAAGTCTCTCCCATATTTATGTAAGAAAAAATTAGAGGAAGAACAAAACTGGGTCCTTTACGCTTCTGCTTAGTGGTAGACATATTGGTTTGGGTGAGGGAGATCATGACTCAAATCCTTGAAGTCTGTCCCAAACGCCGTAACAGGCTAACCTAGATTTTCTCAAAAAAAACAAGAGGAAAAAAAGAAAAGATTTGGATGTCTTGATAATTCGATTCAAAGACTTACAGTGACAAAATTAGTTTCATTTGCTAGTTGGAGCAATGCCAGGATACCCTGTTTTGCATATTGAGAAATCCTGGGAGGTAGATGTAATTTTAAATGTACTTGTCACACATAATTGATATTTTTTATAGATGAAATTATTTGCCATAGGTTCAAAATGCAAGGTGCACTCTTGGCTTCTTATGCTTATCGATAATTTAAATGAGATTTGATTGTTTTCTCTGGGCAATTGTAACTTTCTTTTATTTTCAAATTCTTGCACAAAAGAATGGCCTGTTTACTGATTTTTCTGCTTTTTCTTTCTGAACCAGATGGCAAAGACGAAGGTAATTAACAGTTGCCTTAACCCTGTTTGGAACGAGGAATTGAATTTCTTGGTTTACAATCCGATCGGGACTCTAAAACTGGTATGCCTTCCTCTATTTCCTTGTATTGTTTTACATTACTGTAAATATGCATTAGAATGTCCTAAAAATATCGTAAAATCCAGTGAATTATTCCTAGCCTGTTTCTCATATGACTGTTGTTTTTTTATTTCTTTTTTCCTTCCCATAAAATCCAACAAATTCATCTTTCCCGGATTCCCGAGGACTTTTTTGTCTTTTCATTTTTCTTCTTCCCAAACTGTTACATTGCCCATTATAGTAATATAAAACTGGAAACACGTGCTTAGAACTTAAGACTGCATCAGTTACGGTTATTGCTTTTAATAGTCCAAGTCAGTTAAAGGGAAATATTTCGTAACCACATATTCTCTTCTGTTGTGTTCTTTATTAGTAAATTATTTGATATCTGTTACTTTCATGGGTTATGAGTTCTGTTGATCTTTTAACATTTCAAAATCTACCACGACGACCACTTTTTCCCTGAACTCTCTCTCTCTCTCTCATATTTCTGTTTAGGACTGATTCAAACCAAATTTGAGACACTCCTTTGTTACATTAAAGGGCAGGTGTACACTCAAATTTTGAAGAAACTCCATAATGTGAAACTGGGTTTAACAGATACACACATATACAAACTAATTGCTCCTCTTTATTCTCCATTTCCTTTATCAATATTTGATTTGCTTATCATCTCTCTCTTTTTTTCCCTCTCTCTATATATATATTTATATATGAGAAATGATCCTATAAGACCTTCTCTCACCCATGTGTGTATGACCCCAAAGGATCACCATTAAATTTGGCATGGATCTATAGAAAAGTCAAGTCCCATACCCATGTGATAATTTTTTTAGAGATCCATACCAACTTTAATGGTGATCTTTTAGGGACCTACACACATGGGTGGGAGAGGGCCTTATAGGATTTTTACTCTATATATATATATAAATGTATGAAGTTTCTATAAAGCCTCGGCTTTATGAAAAACAAAAAGCCTCACCTTAAATCATTGTTTGAAATGCACTTGAAGCAACATAAATCTCTATGATCTAAAATCAATTTCCAACATTGACAATAAAACTTGAAACTAAAAAAATGGTATAGATCTTGTAGATCTTTATACACCTATTTTTAGGGCGAAATGGATGACTTAGATAATTTGTTATAATATGCACTATTTTTAAAGCTTGAAACCCTAGTTTTTTTTTCACAACCACAGCATTCAAACCGAGATAATCCATATAAAGGTTTTTCAATGCTTGAATTGTAATTTTCGATGAATTATGAGGTGAGGCTTTGCTTATTTTGTAGGGTTGCAGCCCTAACTTCCTTTTGTAAAGAAACATAAAAAAGTTAGTGGTGGCAATGGACCCGGACCCGACCCAATACACTATGACCAGACCCGAGTTGGATCTTGGTCCAAAACTTGGATCCGAATTTTATTCGGGAATTTAATATATAATATTTTAATAAAATTTAATAATAATTTAATTATTTAAATATAATATTTTAATTATTTAAATATAATATTTTAATTATTTAAATATAATATTTAAATAATATTTAAATCAATATAATTATATATTTTTTGTTATTTAATAATATAACTGTATATTTTAAATTACAATATTTAAATAAGGAAAAAGTATATATAAGGTTGCAATTATTGAATATATAATATTTTAATTATTTAAGAGAGAGAAAAGAGCGAATTCTGGCTGAGGTTTCTGCCATTGAGAGAGAGAGAGAGAGAGAGAGAGGGAGAGCGAAGGAAAGCCGAATATGGTTCTATAAGTTGTACTTTGAGAGAGGTAGGGAGGCCTGTGTAAAACCTACAAAAACCGTGTTACGTGTGTCTGCTTTACTGGTCAGTTTCAGAGAGAGAGCGAGTTCTTTTTATCAGACCTTGTCTACGGGGTGCATTAATTTAGCATTTTGTTAGTTCTTTTTCCTATTTCAGGAAAGCCCAAAGGACATGTCATTGTGAGTGAATAATGAATTAGAAATTGTTGGTGGGGCAATTTTCTAATTTTGCCCCACTATTAAAGTAAAATTTTTTTTTAAGAAATTCATTTGTACGATATAATACTAATGTCCCACTCTAAAGACCGTATAAGATATTTATCTATGAGATATTTGTAAGTAACCATGTAAGATATCAGTATTTTTGAATTGCAAAGTCTCTCACAGGCGTTAAGTTTAAACAGGTGTTAAGTTTTTAATACATATATGCTTTTAGACACAAATAGCTCACTCCAGTCATTCTATGAGACTTGTATTATTGAATGCCAGTATTTCACCAAATGTCACCCTTTGAGGTATTGGTGCTTTTGTACATCACAATTAAGTTACTCATTAAACATTTGCATTTATGAATACCGATATCTTATAAAAATATATATATTAACATTATTTTTTTTTAATATAAGGAAGTTACAATCAACATTGGCCCGTTGGATTTTGAAATTAGGTGGCTGAAGATGACTAGGCACAAAGTTTGAAGTAAAATTTCTCAAATATTGTGATACACTTTAATCTATTGAATTTTACACCTCTTTGTTCATAGTATAAAATCCCATATCTTATAGGGTGTTTAAATTGACATTTAGTGTCTGCATTGTGTGGATGCTCGAATTGTGCACAAGCACCATCAAACTTTCAAAAAAATGGCTAGCCACGATTATATTTAGTAAGCAGCATCAAACTATAAAAAGAACGGTTCGTCACGATTGCATATAGTTTTTCCCAAAGATTTCAAACTTTTTAGGTGCGATTGCCTAAAAATATTAAAAGTGATAGAAATTTTGAATTTGACCAAAATATCACTAATATTTCACAGTATTTTGGTTGATTTGTTTTTTTATAACTTTTTTAAATACATTTTAGGCGTGCATGGTTGAGAACTGTGGATGCCCGAAGTTTTGAGTTGATCCGAGTTCAAGAAAGAAAATTAAAATTAAAACATTGCATGCAATTATTGGTGCCCTTGTTTCTATGTTCTTATATAAGAAAGGTGATTGTGCACCATTCAAGCTTTCCCGGTTAAAAGTAAACAAAGGTCAATAGTGAATCCATTGTATATTTTGATGAACTTACTAGTTTGTTTTTTTGTTCTCCACACTCTTAGAATGCATGTGTGGTTGTATAGTTACATATCGATCTGTTGTTCGCTGCTCCTCTCTTTCTCGAAAATGATAGAAATGGCAATGCTCTCGCTCTCTAACATGACGGAAATGGCAGGAGGTTTTTGACAAAGATAGATTTAAGGCAGATGATAAGATGGGAAACTCACATGTAGATCTCCAGCCCCTCGCAATGGCAGCAAGAATGCGGAAAGTGGTGAAGGGAGAGCCAGGAATGGAGACCAAGATGAGGAAGGTTGTTCCAAACAAGGAGAATTGTTTGGTGAGAGATAGTTGTGTGAGATATGTTGATGGTGAGGTTGTTCAGGATGTGTGTTTGAGGCTGAGAGATGTGGAGTCAGGGGAGTTAGATCTGCAACTTAAATGGGTTGATGTTACTTCTCTCTCTAACATGCCATCTGAAAGTGTATAGTGGTCTTCAGTGGACAAAAGGTGAGATTAGGCTTTGGCTTTTCTTTCTCTTCGACTCCAAATAGTTGAGAAAAGGTTTTGATGATGATGACTCTCTCTCTATCTCTGCATTCCCTCTCTAGTGAGGGCTGCATTCCCTCTCTAGTGAGGGCTTGTCTTGCCGACTCCAAATAGTTGAGAAAAGACTTTGATGATGATGACTCTTTCTATCTCTGCATTCCCTCTCTAGCGAGGGCTGGTGGCATCTCAAAAATACATCGAGGATTAGGATTCTCATTCTCTTCTAAAAATTAGTTGAGGTTGCGGAATATGTAAGGTCAAGGCCTTCGGAAGAAAAATAGAGCCATAAATTTCGGAAAACGCAGTTATGAGTGTGGGAGATTTTGACACTTTGCTTGGAAATCTATTTTTGCCTTTGATATAAAATTTGGAGCCTTCAAAAATGTTGGAACTCTAAATGCTAGGAGATGCAAGAAGATAGTCCAAATAATGTGATTGAATAGGTATTATTTTTGGAGTAATGATCCTATGAGGCTGTTTTTCATCTATGTGTGTAGGATCTCGAAGGATTACCATTAAATTTGATACAGATATTTAGAAAAATCAAATCCTACACTCATGGGATAATTTTTCTAGAGATCTGTGTCAAATTTATTGGGGATCCTTTGAGATCTTATACACATGGGTATAAGAGGGTCTCATAGGATCATTATTCTTATTTTTGTAGTTTATTTTTTTTATAGATTCAGAATGGGAAAAGTTTATATAAGGGTACAACCTTAAAATGTAGAACTAGCACCTCAAAAATCCATCGCAAAACGTTTTAATATTGAAAAACCTTGGGATTGGTTATCTCGACATAGAGATATATCATTAAGAAAAATAAAAAGATTTTGGGTTTCAGAAATAACGTATCTTACAACATATTATCTATACCATCCATTTTCAAAATTTTCATATGTTTATAGCTCTATTTGATTTTAACTATTTTTGAAATTTAAAATTTTATAATTAGATATAAAAATAGATTTTGAGATATTTGATTTTAACTATTTTTGAAATTTAAAATTTTATAATTAGATATAAAAATAGATTTTGAGATAATCTTAAAATTATTTTGCTTCAAAATTAGATAATATGATAAAATTTGAAGGCGCATTTTAATTGGATTGTTTAAGGTTGCAATCTTATGAAAACCGTACCCGTTCAAAATTGCCAATATAAAAAAAGGGATTGTATGCGAAGAGATAAGTTATGTTTTTTTTTTATATGGAGGTTAAAATCATTTCCACTTATTAGATACTTAGAAGTTCGAGAAGTATTGTTTTTTTGAACTATGTGTCTAGTAAATGAAACTGTTATAATCACCTATTTTAAAATTTACGAGACAAAAATAATTGTGATTTTTATATATAAAAGATAAATTCTCTTAGACAATCTCGTATCAAAATAATCAATTTGAAAGTTTTTAAATGGATGCAATTCCGGGTCCTAGGATCCTGAGTTGTTTACGCAAATTTGTGAAACCAATCCTTGCCTTGTGCTTATCTCATGTACATGTAATAGGACCCGTCCTGTGCGACTTTGGGTGGAGTTGTAAGATTACAGAAGTATTACGTTAAATGATAAAATTAAAAAGAGAATGTTACTTCTAATCGGTGTTTAAAAATCCGATGATTTGTGATTTGGATCATAGAACTGGACTCAAAATCAGTTGGGGCCAAACTAGTTTTTTTGGAAGGTATTGGTATTCGCCTTAAAACATCCCATTTCTTTTTTATTGTGATTATTATTTGAGCTTATGTATTATTTTGAGAAATTATCGTAAATATAGTTTAATTTAAGCTTAATTAGAAAAAAACTTCAAACTTTTGTTTAAGCACTCTTTTTCCTCATTTTTGGTTTTTTTTATTATCAAAATGACCTTTACGGTAGTCTTATTACCGTAATACTAAGGGAATTTTAGTTGGTACTAAAAGTACCGTAATACTGATGGCATTTTATATGTTACTTTAAGTATCGTATGTTTGAAGACATTTTTCAGCACCTTAATCCCTGATGTGGAATAAAAGAGGAAGCCGGTCTTATGTTTCGACATACAGTGAAATTCCCAACATTTTCATAATTACGCCAGATCGGGTCAAAATCTTCTTAAGCACTCCAAAAATCTGCCTGTCAAGTTTCGTCGCAATCCGACATGTCTAAGACAGTGCAAACAAAAAAACAATTTCGAAAAATCAGGCTCAAGCATCTTGAAATGGATCCCATAATTAGAACTATATTTTTGGTGCATGAAACAGTTGTAGGACCACCGCCATTGGATCCGGCACGGTTGAAAACCCCTATGGGTCAAGTCTCGGCTTAATCGGGCACTCCAGGACAAAGTTATCGGTACAAGACCAAAAAGGAATAGGCTGCACACTATTCCCGTACGCTTTCCCTGCACCAAATCACCATTAAAGGTAACTGTTTTTGCAGCATCGGGCAGTGACCTTCGGGGTCCATATCTCACTCGTTTTGAGACGGATCGCTCTCAAATTTTGTGAGCATATTTGTCTTATCAAGATGAGTGTTTTGATATATGGCGTGCCTCGTGACGATACTCGAGCAGAGAGAAAAGCTAGAGAGAAGTTGGTGATTTGTGAAGATAGTTGCTGAAAATTCAGCAGCAGCACGCCTCACTCGAGCGGCCAAATCACGCGCTCGCGTATCCGCTCAAAACGAAACTAATTGCATTATGTGTGTAAGGTCTGAGGCTATCTCTAGCCCGAACCCTGCGTACAATGAACGGTTGGATTTCACACACAGAGGTGTCGAAGCTGTTATACATTTTGACTGTCAGATTTCCAAATTTCGGTTAAAAACTCAAAACGACGAAATCTTCGTTTGGATACGAAATCGAGTTGCGTTTGCTACAATGTGATCGTGACGGCATTCTTAGTGTGATCCAGCAAAGAAGTCATGAAAAAACATCAAAGAACACGTACACTATTGATCTGAAGTTTTCAATATTCATCCAAACTTTAAGTCGCATGATCGTGGCCCAAAAGCGTACTCCGTAGCTCGAAGTTGGTATCAAATTGATCGTCATGCAGAGACCGATAAGAAAGCAATCATATTTCAGCCAAACGTACAGCGAAGCAACTCCAAATCATCCATAGAAGATCACGCAAGTTTTAGGGCAGCAAAATAGACTATTTTGGAATTTCATATATTGTTGAGCAAGGGCAAAAGAGTCATTTTGTACTCAATTTTAGAATTTCTTTTAATTCAATTAAATTGTAATTATCACCAATTTAGGTATTTTTTTGGAGTACACCCATGTTTGGGCCCAATTCTATAAATACATGTTAAAACAATTGTCAAAAGACCCTTGATTCTTTTAGCTCATCAATAAAATTTAAGAGTTTTTCACGTTCAAATTGTGGGAGCGTCTTGGAGAGAGAGAGGAGAGAGAAGAAAAGGGCCGGTACCTTCGATAAGGTAATTTTGTCTCTCCTCTTCTTTTCTCTCATCTCTCCTCATCTCATCTCTCTCTTTCTCTCCCTCCTCTCATCTCTCGCTGATCGCCATCCATGTTTCCTTCTACTTTCTTTCTCCTCTGTCATGGATGGCGAAAGTTCATCGCCGCCTATATTCCCCCCTCTCTTTTCTTCCCCTTTCTTCTTTCTTCTTTCCCCTTTTCTCTTCTTTCTTACTGCCCCTTTCTTCTTCTTTTTCTCTCTCTCTCGGTCCTTTCTTTTTCTCACATGCACGATATCGGTAGTATTGCGCATGCCTTTCCCTCTCTCTTTCTTTTCTCTCTTCTTCTTCTTTCCCTCTCGTTTGATCAAGGCAGGCTAAGTCAAGCATTGTCATGGTAGTCTTGTCGTCTAGCAGTAATGTTGTTGTGTTGGTTTTAGTCATCGTGCCAACCTTATTGCTACGATAGGCTAGCCATCGTGCCAGGCTGGTCGATAATCGTTATGTCGTCTAGTAGTATTGTCGTTGTGCCGGTCTAGTTACCTTGCCCGTCTTACTACCACGACAGTTCGATCACTTGCTGGTCTAGCTATTGTGTTAGTCTAGCCACCTAGTCAAATCTTTATCTTCCTCATTCCTCTATTCTCTCTTTCTTCTTCTTTCATCTATTCTCTTCCCCTTTTTCTTATTCTGAATGTGCATGACTATGTGCATTTGCCCAAAGACAGGGAGGGGTCACTTGACCCACTTGTCTTATAAATTAATCATGTGTGTGTGATTGCAGAAACATGAGAGTACAGGCTAAGGGATGTGATTCCGAACCAGTTCTACCACTGGAGGGCTTTCTTCGTGATCTAAGAGGGCGCCCACACGAGCCAGCCCGAGTAATTCCTCTCTCATCGGTTGGTATACCTGACCTCATTCTTGAGTGAGGTTCTCGAGAGAGTTATCTCAAAATCTCGGGTTCCCCGAAACTCGAGACGCATATCCCCTTATCATCTAGATCCGGAGGGCGAGATCGTGGCACCTAACCACCCTAAACTTACACTAACCCTTATACTACATTTTAAGTACGGTAAACACTAACACCCTTATACGGCATTTTAAGTACCATAAACACTAACCCATGTTAGACGATACTTAAAATACCATAAACCTGATTCTGTTTATCTCTTTCATCTTTAATTATTTTTACATTTATCTATTATTTCTCTCCCTAATTTTTTTAATATTTATCTCTTCTTTCTCTCTCTAATTCTCTTTTATCTCTTATCTCTCTCTACAATCCAATTGTCGTTTCCATAGAGAGAGTAATCAAACACTGACTTCAGTTATGCAAAACAGAGGACATGATCTGTCTAAAGAAACGATAGTGAGATTGTAGATAGAGAAAGAAGAGACAAAAAAGAATTAGAGAGAAAAGGCAAATATAAATATTAAAAAGAATTATAGAGAGAAAGAAGAGATAAACAAAAAAAGAATTAGAGATGAAATAGATAAACATAATGAGAAAAGGATTTACGGCATTTTAAGTGTCGTATAGCCATATAATGGGTTTTAGCTTTTACGGTACTTAAAGTATAGTAATTGGCTTCACTGCCATGGCCAGAGTTCTACGGCACTTAAAGTACCGTAATATTACTCAAAGTTACTACGGTATTATAAACAACATATAAAATGATATGTAGTACGGTAGTAAGAGTACCGTAAAGGTCATTTTGGTCCCAAAAAAACTA